TGGGGATGTGGCTCAAGCGGTAGCGCGCTCGCCTGGCATGCGTGCGGCCCGGGTTCGATCCTCAGCACCACATACAAACAAAGATGTTGTGTCCGCCGATAACTAAAAAATAAATATTAAAATTCTCTCTCTCTCTCTTAAAAAAGAATATATTTTTAGTTATTGATAGACTTTTATTTTATATATTTATATATGGTGCTGAGAATTGAATCCATTGCCTCACACATGCTGGGGCTGGGCTGCTCAGCCCCAGCCCCAGCCCCAGCCCCTGAGTCTTGCTCTGCTGCCCAGGCTGGTCTCAAACTCCTCCAGCCTCAGCCTTCTGAGTAGCTAGGATGGCAGGCACGCGTCACTGTGCCTGACTAAACTGTTTACTATATTTATTTATTTATTTTTAAATATTTCTTTGGTTGTTGATGGGTGTTGATGGTTGTTGATTATTCATTTATTAATACGTGGTGCTGAGAATCAAACCCAGTGCCTCATACTTGAGGCAAGTGCTCTACCACTGAGCCACAAACCCAGCCCCTGAATTGTTCACTTTAAATGGTTAATTTCTTTTTTGGTACAGGGATTGAACTCAGGGTCACTCAGCCCTATTTTCTATTTTATTGAGAGACAGGGTCTCACTGAGTTGCTTAGCACCTCGCTTTTGCTGAGGCTGGCTTTGAACTCGTGATCCTCCTATCTCAGCCTCCCAAGTCGCTGGGCTTACAGGCGGGTCCATTGCGCCCAGCTGAAATGATTAATTTTTGCTATGTGAATTTCACACCAATTAATACAGAAATACCCAGCACAAAGTCCCGCATACAACAAACCCTCAAAGTACAGGTAAAGGTGCCAAAGCTGAAGAATTGGCGGGTAAAGGTTTAGAGGGAAGAACATCCTAGGTGCGGGCACAGGATGAAAGTGAGAGCCTGTTGTTTTGTGACCTATTGGGAGGAGAGACCAGGAAGCCACAGGGTAGGCAGGAGCCAGGTCCAAGAGCCTGCAGGGTACCAGGGACCCCTGAAAGCTCTGTGGGGTGGTAAGGCCAGACTGCTTTGTAAAAGATCACTCTACAATGCAGAGTGGTTGAATGGCTGGGCACTGTGGCTGTGGCCCATACCTGTAAGTTCAAAGCCAGCCTCAGCAACTTAGTGATGCCCTAAGCAACTTAGCAAGACCATGTCTCAAAATAAAAAAAATGAAAAAGGCTGGGGATGTGGCTTAGTGCTAAGTATCTCTTGGTTTAATCCCTGGTACAAAAAAAAAAAAAAAAAGTAGGGGCTGATGGTATAGCTCAGTAGTAGATCTCTTGCCTAGCACATGTGAGGCATTGGGTTAGATCCTCAGCACCATATGAAAATAAGCAAATAAAATAAATATTGTGTCTATCTACAACTAAAATAATTTTTTAAAATGTGGGTGTGTGAACTGAGGAAGCTGTTATGCAGGGGCGTGGGGGCAAAGCAGAGCATCAGAAGAGGACAGAGATCAGTAGGAGGTGAAACCAGGAGYTGAATGGGGCATGGTGGCACATGCCTGTAATCCCAGCTACTTGTGAGGCTGAGGCAGGAAGACTGCAAGTTCAAGGCCAGCCTGGGTCACTTAGTGAGACCCTGTCTCAAAATAAAACAAAGGGCTGGGAAGTCACTCAGTAGTAGAGAACTTGGTTAGCTTTAACAAGGCCCTGGGTTCAATCTCCTATACTGGGGGAAAAACAAAACAAAAAAAACAACAGTGGTTGAAGGGAAGAGAGGGAGGGTGATGTGTCCAGATCGCACCCAGCTGTAACACAAGTGGGCACTGTTCATGGAAGGGCAGACAGCAAGGAATTGCCTTGGCCATGGAAGGTGATGTCCTCTATGTGGCTTATGAGGAGCTGTGTTTTTTTTATTTACTCATTGGTACTGGGGATTGAACCCAGGGGCACTTTTGCCACTGAGCCACATCTCCAGCCTTTCTTATTTTGAGTCAGGGCTGCCCAGGCTGGCCTTGAATTTGCAATCTCTCTGCCTCAGCTTCCTGAGTCACTGGGATTGTATGTGTGCAACTGCACCTGGCAAGGGGCCACGTTTAACAGAGCTTAATGTGTTTCAAGGGCTGAGGCTCCAGAAGCTGCTAGGACTGGAGACAGGATGGAAAGACCCCCAAAGAAAGGATGGCATTGGAAGCCATGGAGCTGGTGGCTGTGAGCCCCCAGAAATTTTGTGTTGCAGAGAGATTTCTGGAGGGTATTAGTCTCTGCAGGAAGGCAGAGAAAGATCTGGTGCCAGGACACTAAGCAAGGAAATGGAAGATTTTCAGGCGATGCTGTCAACCACTATACAGATGTGTCAGAAAGTGGGAGAAAAAGTATCCATTGGACTTGGCAAAGTGTAATGGCTGCTGACCTTGAAGAATTTTCATTGGCGAGCTGGAGGTAAAGTTGGGGAATGAGCGGGGGCAGGGAAGTGGAGCTAGCAAGAGGTGAGGACAGTTCTTTTTTTCTTTTTAAATTTTAATATTTATTTTTTTTTTTAGTTTTCGGCGGACACAACATCTTTGTTGGTATGTGGTGCTGAGGATCGAACCCGGGCCGCACGCATGCCAGGCGAGCGCGCTACCGCTTGAGCCACATCCCCAGCCCCGAGGACAGTTCTTTGAAGGGGAGAATAGCAAATATAAGGAGAGTATGTGGGGTTTCTTAAAAGACTAGAGGCTAGAAAGTAGAGGTGGGCATGCTATTAGAAAGGAGGGTTCCTGGGACCCAGAGTCTGGGTGGATGTGTCAGGGACTTGGTATCAGTCAAGAGGCCAGATCTACCTGCTCTGTGGGCACAGGAAAAGGGGGTTGCAGCCAAGTCCACAAGTGTGGTGGTAAGAAACCCTAGGGAGCCTGTTTCAAGGGCTGAGGCCACGTGCTTGGGTTCAGAAGGCTGGAATGGAAAAGCAAGTATGAGGGTCTACAATTGTAAAGGGATCCCTGGGCTGAGCTAGGTGCACCAAGACTCAGAATGGGGCTGGATAGGTTTGAAAGATCCTGTACTAGGGCTGCCAGATCTAGCAAATTAAACTACAGAATAACCAGTCACATTTGAGTTTGTATAAGCAAGTAAGTTTTTGGTATAACTGTATCCCCACTCAGTGTTTGGGATATATTTACAATAAAAAGTTATTTGTTGCTTGTCTAAAATTCAAGTTCTGTAATTTGCCTGGCAATCCCAGCCTGGCATGGTAGAGCRGTGGGTGGGTGGGTGGGGGGGACAAGGGGATGGCGCGACACTGCCTGGGGCCCAAGCCTGAAAATGGGCAGCCGCGCCAGGGGGGCTGGGTGCCAGAGTGAGCCTGAGGTCTGAGCCACAACTAGCATCTGCTCCGCCCCTAGGTTTTCTTGGAGTCCCCGCCCCAGTACTTTGGTCTCGTCCTCTCCCCCTACCGAGCCCATGGTCTCGCCCTGAAGATTCATCGATATCTCTACGCTCCTCCCCGGCCTCTATCGACTTGCTCCTGCTCCCCTCACCGTCCTGGACTACGGTAGAATGCGGAGTGCGTGTAAGGTACGGAGGCCGTGGGACGAGGGCCGGGAATCGGCTTATGGGTGGCTAGGAGGGCGCGGTCGGGGGAAGCTGGCCAGCAGAAGGAAGGCAAGACAGTCGGCGGAGTCTAGGGGATCTCGAGGGTCCAGACGGCCAACGCCCCCTCCCATCAGGTCTGCCATCGGCCAGCTACGCATGCGCAGCCGTAGCGCTCTGGTTTCTCAGACTCCCGCCGCCTGCGCGTGCGCGGCCCGCCCCTGCGGCAGAGGTGCCCCGCGTGACTGCCCCCTGCCGACCGCAGACTGCTCGGCGTCCCCAATGGTCTCTCGCCTGCTGTGCGCGTCCCAGAACCTGTATGAGCCAGTTTCCCGGTTTTTAAAGTCAGATTAATACATATCTCTGAGCTCCGTGTGGACGCAGAGGGCATCCTTTAAATACTATTTTTCTCCCCTCCAGATGCTCTGAACTTTGCTCCTTGCCCATCAGCTCTTCGGCCCTGTACAGGCTATATTCTTCCTAGCAGCTGCACCATGAACACATCCCCAGGCACAGTGGGCAGTGACCCGGTCATTTTGGCTACCGCGGGCTATGACCACACTGTGCGGTTCTGGCAGGCCCACAGTGGAATCTGCACTCGCACTGTGCAGCACCAGGACTCCGTATCCTCCACCTGGGTGGTGGGCGGGATGGTGCTGGGCGGGATGGTGCTGGGCTTTATAACCAGGTGGGGTTGATGGCTTGGGGTGGGAAGTAGGCAGCAGCCCAAGCTAGGTGGTGGAGGCCTTGGAGGACCCCTAGTCTCAGGGTTCCCTTCCCATCATCCTCCTTAACACACACAGCAGGTGAATGCATTGGAGATCACCCCAGATCGCAGCATGATTGCTGCTGCAGGTAACTGTGACTCTTGACCTCTGATCCCTGACCTCTGGCAGGTCAACCTGGGCATAACCGTTCTTCAGTTCAGCCTGTGTCCCTAGGTTACCAGCACATCCGCATGTATGATCTCAACTCCAATAACCCCAATCCCATCATCAGCTATGACGGAGTAAATAAGAACATAGCATCTGTGGGCTTTCATGAGGACGGCCGCTGGATGTACACAGGCGGGGAGGACTGCACAGCTCGAATCTGGGATCTCAGGTGTCTGGTGTTGGGCAGGAGGGGCCCACTATCCAAGGGTAGGGGGGCAGGCCAAGGGACCATCTTTGGGTAGATTCTCTCCAAGAAGAGGCTAATCCAGGGGGGTTTGTGTGGGTGATTTATGGAGGGAAGGAGAAAAGCAGGTTGAAGGGAATTGCATCCAAGAACTACCTCTGCCTTGAGGCAAGGGGACAGGCTTTCATTCCCCTTATCAGTCACTGGTGTCAGGCTACTGGCTGGAGTGAAGGACCGAACCTCACAAGTGTTCCCTATAAGGTAGCTCCCATCAGCAGGGTGACAAGAGAGGGCATCTGGTGGGGTACTAACAGCATCCACCAGAGACAGTGTGTAACCTCATCCCCACAGGTCTCGGAACCTGCAGTGTCAGCGGATCTTCCAGGTGAATGCACCCATTAACTGTGTGTGCCTGCACCCCAACCAGGTAAGGGGTSATTACTCATGGGACTGGGCACAGTAATGGTCCTGCCACACCTCACCTCCCCTGCACCCCCAGGCAGAGCTCATCGTGGGTGACCAGAGCGGTGCTATCCACATCTGGGATCTGAAAACAGATCACAATGAGCAGCTGATCCCTGAACCTGAGGTCTCCATCACATCTGCCCACATTGACCCTGATGCTAGCTACATGGCAGCAGTCAATAGCACTGTGAGTCCTGGAGGGGAATGCAGAGGTAGGGGCAGCTCAGCACCCAGCCACCTATTCCCTGCAGATGGATTCATTCCCTGGTGTTCCTTAGGCCCCTTCCCCAGTTTCTAACACCCATCCATCCCCCAAAGCCATGAACTTGGTTACCATTTTTAATGTCCCCCTTATTGCCTGCCGTAGCCCTCTCAGGCCAGGTTCCTCAGTCTCTAGAATCTCTCAAGGCTGACCATTTTCTTCTTTTCTCCCTGTGACCTCCTGGCCTGAGTATCCTAATGCTGTTAGYTTCCCTGTGGCTTCCCTTCCTCTTCTCTGACTTCCCTTGGTCCCCTGATCCATCTCCCTCAGCTAGATCCCAAGAAGCCCCTACTCCTGCCCAAAGCCAGTGGAATGCTGAGGTTCAGTTCTTGCTCTCCAATTACATTTTTCTCCCTTCACTTCACTTAGATTCCAATGCCTCACTTGTCCATGCCCCAGTCCTCCCTCCTCACAGCGTTGGCCTGAGGCACTCTGAGTTCTTTCCTCTCCTTTCCTTCTGCATAGCTCCATTGGCCAGCAGCCAAGGTGTATGTGAGTCCTTGGCCAGCATGGCCTCCTACACTTGGCTGGCTGGACATGGCCCTTGTTTGAGGTCAGGCTTCCCAGGGGCCTCGTATAGGAAGGACCCAAAGTGCCAGCCTGCACGCCCTGGCCCAGGACTCTTGTGTATGTTGATCCCTAGTGTTGGTGGATCTTGGGTTCAGGTCTAGCCCTCAGAGAGTTCTCTGAGACTTAGGGTTTCAAGTGACTTCCTTCTTGCCCTATAGGGAAACTGTTACGTCTGGAATCTGACAGGGGGCATTGGTGATGAAGTGACCCAGCTCATCCCCAAGACCAAGATACCAGCTCATACACGCTATGCCCTGCAGTGCCGCTTCAGCCCTGATTCCACGTGCGTGTAGGACCTGGTAACCCAGGAAGGGATCTGCCTGCGACTGGGCGAATGATGGATCTGGCCTAATGCATGGTAGGGGGTTCAGGTGGGGATGGCTATTGTATGACACCCCATATTCTGAACCCATCCTAGGCTCCTTGCCACCTGCTCAGCTGACCAGACATGCAAGATTTGGAGGACATCCAACTTCTCCCTGATGACAGAGCTCAGCATCAAGAGCAGCAATCCTGGGGAGTCATCTCGAGGTTGGATGTGGGGCTGTGCCTTCTCAGGGGACTCTCAGTACATTGTTACAGGTGAGGCTTGCCTTCCTGCTTTGGCCTCCAGAGTGGCTCATGACAGCTGCTGCTGCTCTTCTGCCTTAAGCTGTCCTGGCTCTGAACTTTTGCCTAATCCCTCCTTGCAGCTTCCTCTGACAACCTGGCCCGGCTCTGGTGTGTGGAGACTGGAGAGATTAAGAGAGAGTATGGTGGCCACCAGAAAGCTGTCGTCTGCTTGGCGTTCAATGACAGTGTACTTGGCTAGCCCTTGCCCCTCAGGATCACAGGCAGCAACTGGGCAGCTGGGACTGCCTGGTGCAGTGGCTGTAGCTTGTTGGACCTGTATACTACTCAGGTCAGAGTAAAACTCTGAGACTAGCCTTTGCTCACCATGCTAGCTGGACTGACTGGGCTACCCCTCCCTCTTGCCAGGCCTGCCCAATTGCCCACTGACTCAGGACGTACATCCCTGGGCTTGGAGAGCCTGCACTCCCTTCCGGGATGTGGGACTTATGGGGTTTAGAGTTTCTGAGAGGACCCAAGCTGGTGCCCACCTGCCAAGTCATGTTCCTCCTCCCTCTCCTTCTCCTTTCTGCCCCTGTTCAGGGCCCAAGGACCCAGAGACCATGGCCAGGTGGAATTGTTTATTAGTCCCTGTCAGCAGCTGCCCTCCAGGTGCTGGTGACACAGCCAACTTAACTAGCCTGTGGGACCATGGGTAGTCCATGGGGCAGTGGCCAGGCTGGGCCAGGCAGAGGGCTTAGTCTGGGAGGTAATAAAAGCAGACAGACACACAGATGTTGCTTGGGAAGCAGATGTCAATGCAGAGATAGATCAGCCGCTGCCTCTGGGGCCCTGGGTGGGAGGGAGACTCATGAATTTCCAAAGCACTCCTATGTAGTTCTGTAGATTGTTCTGCAGGAGCCACACAGCCCCTCCACACATCTTGCCCCAACTCACCCTCAGCTTGACGGGCCCAGTAGATGGGGGTCTTTGCACAAAGGTGCTGCACTGAAGCCCCCACCTGGGCAGGATCCACAGTGTGGCTCCCAAGCACTGCCAGCAGCTCCTGGGCATGGTGGGTGTCATGACCTTGGCTGAGGGACCCTTGGGCCTGCAGAAAGGCTTTGGTGGGCTATGGCATGGAGGTTTCCCTCCTGGCTGGGCAGGTACTCACATCCCACACCCACCTGCCAGCCCCACCTTCTACTTTTGTCAGCAGCCTCAGCTAAGGGAAGATAGAGCTTTCTGTTTCCCTGAAACCAGAGCCCCAGCTGGGCTGCACACAGGACCCTTTGTCTGGCCCCTGGCCTGGTGGTGGAACCATGCTCTGCTCACCCTGGAGGTGTTCATCAGCAGCTGCAGGGTTTCCCGATCTCGGGCCTCCATCAGGCGGAGAAAGCAGGCCTGGTGCTCTGCAGGGCGGTAACAGATGCAGCCCTGGGGAGGCAGGTGGGTGAGGCAGGGCCACCCCAGCACCTGTGGATTGATTCCCTCCCCACCCACTCACGCTCTGCCCGTCGAACAGCACTGCCCAGCTGCGGTTGCTCTGAGGTGGAGTCACTATAATGGTTGCCATATTCTGGGCCACGTCCACGATGGTGGTTTGATTGGACCAGGGCACTTGGGGGCTTGGGAAGGTCAGCCGGAGCATCTGCAGCAATGGCTGAGAATGGGAAGTGGGAGTTCAGCTGGGCAGGCTGAGCAGCCCCATAGGCCCCTATCCCTGGGCTGCAGCATTTCAACATCATGTGAATGGGCCTCTCCACCCTCTGGTACTCTGCTCTAAGGCCAGTATTAGGGCCTACTTTGGGTCCTGGCTCCACTGGAAGACCAACCTCCCTGACCCCTTCCCTCTGCCCATGTCCCTGGGCCTCAGGTGGGGCTCACCTTGGAAGGGCTATGAGCAAACCCAAGAAGCCCTCCGGCCACAGCCCCTGCAGTAGCCAGTGCCAGCAGCAGTAACAGCAGGCTTGCAGCTCTCCAGCCCCAGTGGCAGGGCTTGGTCTTCACCTGGGGGCATACTGCAGTCAGTGAGGCTATTGAGTTAGAGACCAGGGAGCAGGTTTGCTTAGGGAAAAGAGGGGATAAGGTGGGGTAGGTGGTGGTACTCCTGTCCCCTACCCTGGACATCCCCAGGTTTTTGTCCCAAGAATGATAGAGGTACTCACCTCTGCAGGCCCAGGCCTGGGGCTCTCCGTGTGGCTGCTTCCTTGCTCCATGCTGCAGCCCCTGCTGACAATGCACTGTTTGTTTGCAGCCCCTTGGAGGAGTTGGCCCGGAAAACCTCAGGATGACTCTGATGAGCCAAACAACTGCCTCCTCCCCAGCTCAGTATCTGATGTCCAGGTCAGAGCTAGGACAGCCCCCTCTCCCACTGAGGATGCCAGTCATCAGGCCTGGCTCTTAACACCTATCTTGTACCAACAGAACAATATGAGGTCTGCAGGCTTCAGTGGGAATCTAGTCCAGCTGATTCATTGCAGGCAGCCCAGGCCCAGCCAAATGATTCTGTCTGGTTGGAACAGATTTGATGTGTCTTAGAGTCTGTTTCCAGTCCAGTTACCTGCAGACTCCCAGAGGTGGGCATGGTCCCTGGCACCCAGGGAGCCATCATTAAATACAAACTGTTCCACAAATACAGACTGTTGCCTATTCATTGTCACTAGTATACAGAAAGGCACTGCTTCCTTCTCCTCCTGGTGCCCATCAGCAACTTCCCACCCCCCTCCGATATCACACAGGGCTTTGGGCATCCTTTAGAGTACGTGTCTGGGACGGGAAAGTTCCAGGCTGGATCACCAACTGGCAGCCTCCTGGAGTTTCCCACCTGCCAAGGATGGTTAGGTCGGGTGTGTGCCCCAGGGTGGCTTATTTCTGTGTTCTGCTCACTGCCCTAGTCCTGGTCTCTCTTCAGCCATCTGATGCTTGGTAACTCCGTTGTGTGTGCTTTTCCCAGTTTCACCCTTTGACCCTATCCTGCTCTGGTTTTGTACCCTGCTTTTCCTGATCCTCAGAACCTACTCTGTTAACAGGCCTGAAATGGGGTGAAGCTGCAGTGCTCAATGTTCCAGCTCTGGAAGGCTCTGGAATTGGAATCCCAGACTGGCCTTTTCCTTTCAGACTTCCCATCCTGCCCCCACCTGCAGCTAGATAGTGGCCACTGGCCACCTTGGTGTTGCTACACACGTGAAAGGAAGGAAGACCCAGTCAGCATGGGTTTGAGAGTTTAATGTGCATTTGGGTTCACACAGTGCAAGGGGCCAGAGATGGGGTGCACACAGGCTCCCAGAAGAGGGAGGCATTGCTGGCTGCTGCACCTGCCACGTGCTCCTGGTGTGGGTGACAACGCCCTGACCAGCCTGCTCAATATCCAGACCCACCTTGAGCCGACCTTGCAGAGCAAACGTCAGCACCACCAACCTTACAGGCATGGCTGCCCTCCTGTTGCCTTGTGGCATGGCCCCAGCCCAACCACCTTGGCCAGGAGCAGCTGCAGGGATGGAATAACCTTTATTGCTGAGAACTTGGTGAACATATTAAGGAGTACCATGACCACAAGGCTGGGAGAGAAGCCACTGGGTGCAGGGCAAGGCACCAGGAGTCAGCAGAAAGGAACAGTTTCCCAGCTCTGCCCTGCAAATGCTGCTGAGTCTACTCAGCAGGCTGCTAAAGGTCAGCAAACCCAGAGAACAGACAGAAAAGGCCAGAGCCCCTGTCAAGAACCCCTGGCTGGCTGGTGGGCTCTGCCAATCTTCCCACTGGCCATCAACAAGGGAGTCCAGGGCCAAGAGAGGTGGTCTCATGGGCTACTGATATCTAACCCCCACCCAAACCCAGGAGACAGGAGGATAGGAAAAGACTGGATGCTTTGTAAAAGAAATTCCTATTCTTAAGGACCTCTCTCCTTCCCCACCAAGAGGGTGCCTCAGATGACAGGCAGTCCTTGAGTAGCACATGCCTTTAGCTGTGCTGCTGCTTGCAGGGCATGCAGCCTTCAGTGGGATTTTCTCTATGAGACTGAGCATAGCTATTATACATTTAAAAATTCAATTTACCACTTGACAAAGTTGTTCACAAGTTGAAAAAAATTATTATTTTTGGTACCAATGCTGCTCTGAGCTCCCTGTATAGCAGCCCAGACTGCAGCAAAGGCATCCATGCCCACTTGGCCCCTCAGCCGACAATGCACTCAGTCTGAGTCACCTGGGTTTAAATGCACACTTGATATAGCCGAGGTTTAGCTGGGCTGATTTTACAGAACTGGGCAGCTGTATATGAGGAGCCGCAGCCCTGAGCATTTGAAATGGAACAGACAATTGTGACATCAAAGTGGTTTTCAAGGAAGCAGGGGAGGGTGGAGGGTGGTAAGGGCAACACCCCACACCTCAAACACAGGGTGACACAACTTGGGAGTAGCCCCTTCCTCCATTCCCGCCTTGCAGGTGAGGAGCTGGGACACAGCAGCTGCTCCTCTGCTGCATGACCATGCAGGGTGGGGGTTAGAAGCCTGGTCTGTTCTGTACAAATGTTTCACAACAGTCACAATAATCATTGCCCCTCTGCCCTTCAAGGGGGCTTAATCCCTGAATAAAATTTTCTGTCAAATACATGACACACTCCTAGACCTGCCTCATTATTATCAGCAGGGCCTGAAGTTACCTGAATCCTGGACAGATGCTATGCCTGCCCTTGCCAACACATCCAAGGCCCAGGCCTATCCCCACAATGCCCTCAAAGATTAAAAGTGCATCTTAAAATATAAGCATCTGTAAACAACATTGCCCCCAGAACATTTACTTACAAAACTAACAAAACACTTTTGCTTAACTCCAATTACACTCTGTGGTCACCTACATGAGTGGATGCCTAAGCTCCACCTATTGATTTGGTTAAGTGATTTTGAATTTCTTTTTTTATTCTGGAGATTAAAGACACYAAATCTTTAACCTTGAAGAGCAGGCAAGAGGTCGGCTATGCTGTCAACATAGAAGTCAGGGACCATTTTCTTCTTAGACATGCAGTCACTTTCCTGATTACTCTTCACATCCTCGAGTGTAGAGACTCCAGTCAGGGTCAGGATGGTCTTCAAGCCACAGGTGACGCCCAGGAGGATGTCTGTATCCAGACGGTCCCCCACCATGACGGTGCGTTCCGGGTTGATGCCGTACTCCTGGGACACGCAGTCGAAGATGAAGCGGCTGGGCTTCCCAATGATGTCGGCCTGACGTTGGGCGGCCATCTCTACCGCTCGAACCAGACAGCCGGTACCTGCGGGGCAGAAGGAGGGAAGGGGCCAAGGGATCAGAGGGCGGAGAGGGGCCGAAGCCCGCCCTTTGGCCTCCCGCCCCGGGGCGCACGGACCCGCGATGAAGTGGCCTTTCTCCAGGGGTAGCCGGTTGTCCATGTTGGTGCCCACAAGCAGGCAGCCGGGCTGCTGCAGATAGCGCACAGCCTTGGTGAGCTTCATGTAGCTGAAGTGCGGGTCGAAGCCCACCACCACAGCGCCCACGTCCGCCTCCAGCGGCTCGGCTAGCCAGTCGGCTGGGCTGTCGCCCCGGAGTGGCTCGGGCCCCACGCCCACGCTGGCGACGCCCACGGCCTCCAGCTCCGCTGCCAGGGCCGGGCTGCCCAGCACGTAGGCCTTCGGGGCCGACGCGCCGGCCAAGCGCTGGCGCAGGTAGAGCGCGGTGCAGTAGGCCGTGCCGAAGACCTCCAGGCCCGCGCCGGGCCCCGCAGGGCCTCCGAAGCCCAGACGCTGCAGCTTCTCAGCGTAGGCCGCGCGCGTCTTGCTGCTGTTGTTGGTGATGAAGCCCAGGCGCTTGCCGCGGGCCCGCAGCGCCCTCAGGGTCTCGGGCGCGCCAGGCACGGCTGTCTCGCCGCGCCACAGCACGCCGTCGCAGTCGAACAGCAGCGTGTCCACGTCGGCCAGCAGCGCCTGGGCCCGCTCGGCGCTCAGCAGTACGCAGCGGGCGTCGTCGCCGCCGGCCTCCGCCTTCGCCATGGCCGCCCGCCGCCGCCCGCCGCCGTCACCGGCCGCCGCCGCCACCGACCGCTCCTTGCAGCCGCCCGCCGCAGGGTCCGCCCCGCCCCCGGAGCGCTCATTGGCTCTGCGTCTCGCGCGTGTTGCTTATTGGTCGCTGCCTGCGCCAATCCGTCTCTGCCTTCTGCGGGCTGAGGGAGCTCGGCTCCAACCGCCTCGACCGGACACAAGGAAGCGGCAGACCATTGGCTGCAGGGCTTGGGTGCTCATTGATGATTGGTTGGCAGGGCGCCAACCGGCATTCGGAGTAGAGCGCTCGCTGTGGAGACGCTGCTGTCCGAGAGCGGAGCAACACGTAAGGCCGCTGCTTATTGGCAGCTGCAGGGCAGCTCGCCCATTGGAGGCGGGTGGTCAGCCTAGGTGACGGAGGCCCATGGTTAAGGGACCCCAGGCCGGGCCGGCTGCTGATTGGCTGGCTAGTCTCGAGGTCATGCGGGCGGGGTTTTCCGCGTGAGCGTGGCGGGAGGGGCCGCTGTCGGCCTGAGGTTGGAGTCACGTCCTCACTTTTGGCGGCCCTGTATCCGGACACGCTCCGGACACGGTGCAGGCGTTTGAGCGGTGTGCCTTCCGCTCCTGGAAGGATTCTTCCCAAGAAGCTTCGTATATTCGCCTCCTGGCCTCTGCGCAAACCTTTCCTTGTGCCTCGGCGGTCTCAGGAACCAGTGATTCCAAGGCGGTGGGACTCAGTACCCAGTAACTGGTCGCTATTGTCTCATTATCGGTTAATATTAACTTTGTTGAGGCGTAACACAAAGGATGTGATTTTTTTTAGTTTTATTTTTAATTGTAGATGGACACAATACCTTTGTTTTATTCATTGATATCTGGTGCTGAGGATAGAATCCGGTGCCTCACACGTGCTAGGCAAGCGGTCTACCACTGAGTCCCAGCCCCAAGGATGTGAATCTCAAATGTGCAGCTCAGTGAAATTTATATATACTTATATGCCAGGTCAACTGTGAACTATTTCCAACACCTCAGGAAGTCCCCTCATGTTCTCACCCAGTCATCAGCTTTACCAATCACAGTTCTTGTTTCTGTCATATGGAATCAGAGCCTAGTTTCCCCTGTTCTAGACCATCTTTGTGTGGTGTTGGGGATTGAGCCCAGG